GCTTCATATAAATGGAATCATGAAGTATATATGATTTTTATTTTATTTTAGCCAACATAATGCTTTTGAGATTTATATAGTTGTTGTGTTTATAAGTAGCTCGTTGTTTTATTGCTGAATAGTATTCCGTTATACAGATATACCCCGATTTGCTTATCTACTTTCCTATTGATGGCTATCTGGATTTTGTTTAGTTTGGGATTGTAATGAATAAGGCTGCTATTTATATTTTTGTACAGGTCTTTCTTAGAAATATGTCTTTATTTCTGTTTGGTAAATACCTAGGAGTGAAATTTCTGGGTCAGAAGGTAGATATTATGGTTAACTTGATTAGAACCGACAAACACTTCGACAATTACCTTTGTGCCAAATCTTCCCCAGCAAGTAGTGTCATCAGTTTTTAATTTTAGCATTCTGGTGAGTGTGAAGCAGTATCTTATTGTGGTTTAAATTTACATTTCCCTAATGACTAATGAATGTTGAGCTTCTTTTCATGTACTTATTGGCCGTTTGTATATCTTCTTTTACAAAACATCTGTTCAGATCTTTTGCCTATTTTAAAATTAGGTTGTCTGTCTTTTTTATTGTTAATATGTAGGAGTTCCTTATATATTCTAGATACAAATACTTTGTCAGAGATATGGCCTGCAAATATTTACCAGTCTGTGGCTTGTTTATTAATTTTCGTAGTGGTGTCTTTGGATGAGCAGAAATTATCATCTTGATGAAATCCAGTTGACCAGTTTCTTTTCTTTTGTAGATAGTCTTTTTATGTCCTGTCCAGGAAATTTTCTGTGTTTGATGGTTAGGTCTATGAACCATCTCAAATTAATTTTTTGTGTATGGTGGGAGGGAAGAGTCAAGGTTCTTTTCATTTCCTCATACAGGCATCCACTTGTTCCAGCATCACTTATTGAAAAGACCTTTGTTTCCCTATTTGACTGACTTTGTTGTTGACACCTGTGTTTAGAATTGAGTACACACACACACACACACACACACACAAACACACAGGTCTATTTCTGGACTCTGTTTTGTTCCATTGATCTATTTGTCCTTATTCCAGTCCCACACTGTCACGATTACTATATATTTATAATAAAGCTTGAATTTTGGTTGTATAATACCTCCAACTTTGGGTGGGTTTTTTCTTTTCTATTTTGGGGGGGCAAGATTATTTTGGCAATTCTAAATCATTTGCTTTTCCGTATACATTTTCGAAATGGCTGGACAATTTCATTTAAAAAGCCTGCTATGATTTTGGTTGGGATTGCTTTGAATCTTTAGATCAGTTGAGGAGAGTGAACATATATCTTTAAAATATTGAGTCTTCCCAGTCCACGAAGGTGGTACAGCTCTCTATCTGTTCAGGTCTTCTTTAATTTCTCCCAACACTGTTTTATAGTTTTCACTATAGAGGTCATGTGCATTTTTTTGTTAGATTTATTTCTAAGTATTTGATGTAGTTTTTGATGCTGCTATAAGTGATACTGTTTTTTACTTTCATTTTTCAGTTGCTTGTCACTAGTTTATAGAAATACATTGCTCTTTATAATTGACTTTGTATCTGCAGGTTTGGTAAACTCACTTATTAGTTCTAGTAGTTTTTAAATAGATTCCATAGAGTTTTCTATGTACCCGATCATATCATCTGCAAACATATGTACTTATATCTTCTTTTCAAATCTTTTTTGCCTTATTTTCTTGCCTTATTAAACAATGTAGGACTTCTAATCAAATGTGCAATGGACGTCATCAGAGCAGATGTCTTGGCCTTGTTTCCTGATCTTAGAGAAAACGTGTTCAGTGATTCACCATTAGGTACAATGTTAGCTCTAAGTTTTTCATAGATGTCCTTCATCAGGTTGAAGAAGTTCTCTTTCATTCTCGTTTTGCTGAGAATTTGTATCATGAATGGACACTGAATTTTGTCAAATCCTTTTTCTGCATTTATTGAAATGCTCATGATTAACTCCCTTAGTCTGATCATTGATTTTACATATGTCTTCTTTTCAAATATATGCATTTAGAGCAATAAACTTCCATCTAAGCTCTGCTTCATTTGCATCCCACAAACTTTTATGTTGGATGGTTGTTATCATTCAGTTCCAAATATTTTCTGTTTCCTCTTGTGATTTCATTTTTGTCCCATGTGTTATTTAGAGGTGGTTTTCTTAATATTCACATTTGGAGATTTTTCAGTTTTCATCACATATGGTGTTTTATCACAATGAAAGGTTCCTTTTTCTCTCTGGTAGTACCCCTTGGCCTGACATCTATCTGGTCTGATATTAATATAGTCATGCCAGCTTTCTCATGCAAATGCTTTCTGTGCTTTATGTTTAAAATGAGTTTCTTGTGAAAGCATATAGTTGGGTCGTCTTTCTTTTTTTAATTCTGCCTGACGTTCTTTGTCTTTTAATTAAGGAGTTCGTCCATTTTTATTTAACGTGACTATTGATATAGTTGGGTTTAATTAAATCTGTCACCTAGATATTTATATTCTTTTTCCCCTGTCTGTTCTTTGTTCCTCTGGATATGCTTTCCTGTCTTCTTTTGGGTAAATCATACATTCTTGGTTTTTAATTTTATTCCCTCTATTGAACTTTTATTTTTTAAGCTATACCTCTGGGAGTTGGGCGATGGTGTGTGTGTGTGTGTGTTGGTTTTCTTTTTTTTCTTTCTTTTTTTTTAAGTGATTGCTTTAGAGCTGTGTTGTTCAATATAATAGTCACTGGCCACATGTGGCTATTTAAATTTTAATTAATTGAAATATGAAAAAATAAAAATATATCCCCGACAGTAGCATGGAGAATGGATTGAAAGGATTCAGGACTAGAAAGAGTAACATAAGTTAGGACATTGTCTTAGAAACACTGGCAAAATTTTGTGAGATGTTAGTAACACAGTTTAAGAGAAATGGTAAGCTTGAGAGATAATGGGGAGGTAAGAGCTGAGTGACTCTTAAGAGTTCTAGCTTGGGCAGCAAATGAATAGTGCTGTCACTGAGGCAGGACAGCTAGGAAGAAAGTTAAATTTGGGAGAAGATGCAGAGTTTAGTTTCAGAGACCTTGAGAGTCAGATGTTTGTAGGAATTTCAAGGCAGAGATAACTAGTAGACAGTTGACTGTATGGGTCAGGAATTACGGAGAGCTATGTAGGGCAGAGAATTTTCACGTTTTTAATTTAAATATTGATGAACTGAAAAGTGTAGAAAATCACCTTGTTAGTATTATAGAGTAAAAAGGTACAGAACTCTGGGGATCGCCAACATTTAAGAGGAAGAAGAGACTCTAGACAGAGCTTATAGATAGATGGAAGGAGAACTGGGAGACAGCATGTTACTGAATTTGAGGGAACAGAGAGTTATCAGTGAATTATTACATGGTGAAAGATTTTCTACGCAGGTGTTACATGGATGATATTTGACAAATTTGGCTTACATGCACTTTTCTGAGAAGCAGCGAAGTGCTTTGAAATTATTCAGTGCTTTTATCTCTTAGACTCCATTCATTCTTTGCCTTTATCTTTTAGTATTTATTCTATCTTGCTGTGTACTAGGCTCTCACTTAGGGGCAGAAGATATAGAGATGAATCAAAGTTTCTGTCGTACTCTTTCTCTAAAGGAAAGACATACAAACAAATAATTAGAAGACAAAATATAAGGTCTGTAAGTAAAAAGAGGTTGTAGGAAGTGCTGCAGGAGGCCAGAAGGAAGAGTACCCCACTCCTCTGTGCCTTCACAAGCTGTTCTGCTTGCATGGATGGCCCTTTTCCTGCTCCTTCATCCACACGGCCGAAACTCAGCTCAAGCGTCATTCTGGAAATGTCCTTTGACTTCCCTGTTTGTTTTATTTAATTCTTTAAGAAAAATGGTGACTCAGACAACTTATTTCTAAAGCAATCACTAAAAAAAAAAAGAGGAAGGGAGGGAAGGAGAAAGGAAAGAGAACCAAAATTGAAAAAATAATATATACTCATTATGAGAAATTCAGGCAACACGGAAAATACCAGAAGATCACCCAGGATCCCACCACCTAGAAATAATCATTATTAACATTAGATTAACATCATCCAGAGATATCTTTATAGGTTTGTACATATGAAAGGTTGGATAGAAATAATTTTGCATAATTAATATCATACTATATTTTAAATGTTAAGTGCTTAATTTCACTTTACAAAGATTAGCGTGAGAAAGATAAACTTCAAAGATTCTTTACAAGAAATAGTAACTACTAAAAGATTCTTCTAAGGTTAACAAAAAATTGCATAAAACATTGAAGCTTCATGATTGTATAAAGCTGTAAGTTTCTGTGTTTATTACTTTTCAGCAGCTTGATGGGACTCTGCTGTGAATGATGAAGAAATTAGCACCGTCAACTTCTTTTCACCCTCCTCCCTGGCCCTCCAGCTGCTTCCTGGTTTTCAGTTATAATTACCTTGTCACTGCTTATAACATTTATCTACCTTTCTGTAACCCAATCCATATATTTGTTTATTCTCAGCTCAGTATTTAAATGGATTCCATTCTCACCATCATCTCTTATGTCATGGTCTCTGGCTTCTCCATTCTAGAGTTCTTTATTTTTATTCACCTCTTGGTTGGCTAGATTTCATCATCAAGTAGTTTTCTTAAGAAGGACCCCAGTAGTCCCTGAAGTCTTCTTTACTGTCTGTCTGTCACCTTTATACTCAAAGGACAACTTGGCTGGGCATAAATTTGTTAGGTCATGCTTTCTTTCCCTGAACTTTTGACATTTCTGTCTCCTGGAATTGTCCTAAACCGTTTTTTTTTCTTTACGACTACTCCCCCCACACTCGCCCCTTTTATGAATCAGAATTGCAGTTTTCCAAGAAGAGGCATGAGTTCTTTACCTCTTCACTCACAGCCCTTGGGAGAATTCTTACAAGGAAGGACTACCACCGCTATAATACTTTGATGTGAACCAGGGTATTGGGGGTATTAACCATGCATCTTTGTTTATTTTCCTTTCTAGAAATAATTGATGACCTTGCCAACCTGGTGGAGAATACAGATGAGAAACTCCGCACTGAGACCAGGCGTGTCAATATGGTGGACAGAAAGTCAACATCTTGCGGTGAGAGAGCTGTAGCTGTGGTTCTGCCTCTTGAATCACTTATGGATTTACCCTGCTCGATTTCCCACGTTTGTCTAATTACTGCAGGGATTTGCTTGCTCCTCTGACACAGAAGCACTAAAATTGCTCAAAGATACCCAAGCCTTGTTAAAATGAAATGAATTGTTATGAGTGCAGGGGAAGTATAATGCACTGTTGGTTTTTTTCATTTAAAATAAGAAACCTTCCTGTGTGCTTGCAGCGAATAATAGTTGGGAAATTGTATGCCGTCATGCAGGTTGGTGGTGGTAGATCTCATGGGTTTTTAAAGGCGAGCTCACTTACTTTGTGCCTCTTTTTGTTCACAAGCCTATTTGTGGAAGCTTGAACTGCGGAGCAGTTAGGAGCCGAGGTTCTGAAATCCAACAAATTTCAAATCCTTTCTTTAGTGTTGTTATCTTTGGCAGTCACTTTACTCCTTAATACCTTGTACCTTGTAAAATGGGGATTCACATGCCAAGTTATTAATCACTTGGAGTGATTCTTAAAATACTGATTCCCAGGTCCTCCCCTAGAGATTCTGACCGAGCAGGGCTGGGTTGGAGTTCAAGAGTGTTCATCATTTAACAGGTTCGCCAAGCTATTCTGATGCAGGTACTTGCTCTCTGTAGAATTTCTGATGTAGAGTTTTGTGAGGTTTAAATTATGTATTGCCTGTGCACGGTGCCTTGCCCAAAGGAGAGCGACGATAAATGCTGGTGACAGTAGTAGCCATCACAATGATTGTTATTTGGTGCCTTGTCTCACAAAGGTGTACCAGGTTTATAAAGCTAATACCTTTACTATAAATAGAAATACAACATCACTAAAAAAACTAATGATCGGAGCACATACTTTGCCTAACTTTTAGCCCTTTCAATATGAGAAACATAATGGGTCCCTCTGATCTATCCAGTTTGAGAACAAGGACCTCTGTGCAAGGGTCACCTGAGATGTACAGCCTGAGGAGCATTACCTCCCTTGCTGTGTTTGCTAGTTCCAGAAGTCTAGAACGACAGAGAGAGGACCAGGCAGATACGGACTCTGGAACCTCAGAGGAAGTGGACCTCTGAGGGCCTACCTGCTTCCCAGTTATCATCTAGCCGATACCAGCCCACTCTGTGCTTCTGCTCTGTAGGCGTGTGCCTCCTCCTTTCTGCCAGAAGCAAGGCCTCCTTGCTTTTGCTTTACCAACCTTCTCACGTGACTTCTATCCACAGAAACTTTGTTCTTTGCATTAGATCCTGAAACTTTGGAGACAGAGATATGGATCCACTCCCACGTCTGTCTCTTATTATCTTTGATTTCTGTATAAACTTAATCTTACTGAGCCTTAGTTTCCTAAGCTGTAAAAAAGTGGATAACCTGGTTATCCAAATGAAATTGTCTAGAATGTGTAAAGTGTCTAATGCTGACCATCTTCCCTGGCTTTCCGTATTAATGTGGAGAGGCACTAGAGTGTCTCCATTCAGAGTGTGGCTCTAGAACCTGGACTCACATCCCGGCTCCGCCACTCACCAGCTGTGTGACACTGGGAAAGCCCAAACTCCCCTTCACCTCAGTTTTCCCATCTTTGAAATGGGAATAATAATGGTATATAACTGAGAGGGTTATTGTAAGGAATAAATGAATTAATATAAAGATAGAGATATGAATATAGATATAGATGATATAGATACAGATAGATACATATGGATATACAGCACTTAGAACATGTTTGGCACATAGTAAGCAGTGAGCAAATATTAGCTCTTACCTTTGTATGTCTAAAGTAGGAAGAGTCTTCCCAATTAAATGACAACTTTCCTGAGGTCTTTTTGATGTGCTAAGCAATCATATTGCTATTAATTTGGAGTGAACATATTCATAGACACGTCGTATGCCCCTCAGCACACCATTCGTGAAGTCATAATGGAGAATATTGATTCTACTGTTGCTAATTTTTTACTGTATGGTATTACCTAGTTTCGGTATTTATACCCAGAAATGTCCATAAAATCTTCTGAGCTGAACTGTTTCAGAAATTTAGAGACTCCTAGAATTGCTAAAATATATGTTTTTAAAACTTAGTATCTTAAAATATGTTAACTCTAAATTTATCTCATGCCTTATTTGTATTTAGTTATTTGTTATATATTATATAATAGTTATATACTTTAAAATATATTATTCGTAACAGAATTATATGTAGTGACTCAGAAGGTAGAAGCACAGCAGTACAGTGTGGTAGATACTGAAAGAAGAAATTTCTTTATTCCTTCAGTGGAATTACTTTAGAAAAAATTTCTTAGCCCTCCAAATTTTTCCTAATATTTACTTAGCAGTTCCATCAGTATCATAGATCAACACCCGAATAACTACCCTTATACCATTTCTGATGCCTGATACCTTTAAAGGAAAACTTAGTGCTTTTATATTTTTAGAGAGAAGTTTGTGATTATATATGTGTTTGTTGACAGACAGTGCTAGTTTTTGCATATTGATGACAGTTCAGCATGTGGCCTCCAGAGCTATGGGGAGGTCAGGCAGGCATGTCTTTATGACACCTAGCAATTAACTTCTGAGTATTTCACTGGTCAGTATTAAGCCTTTGAACAGAAGGCATATTGTGGAATTTACTGAGTAGGTCTAGCAGCCCTTGGTAAAATTAGCCTGACCTTTTTTTAAAAATATTTTTTATTGTGGTGAAATATACATAACATAAATTTTACCATTGTAACTATTTTTAAGCGTGCAGTTCAGTGGCATTAAGTACCTTTGCATTGTTATTGCCACCATCACCACCATCCATCTCCAGAACTTTTTCATCTTCCCCAACTGAAACTCTGTACTCGTTAAACACTAACTCCCCATTCCGCTCCCCACAGCCCCTGGTAACCACCCGTGCTTTCTGTCTCTATGAATTTGACCACTCTAGGGACCTCACATAAATGGAATCAGGCAGTATTTGTCCTTTTGTATCCAGCTTATTTCACTTAGCATACTGTCTTCAGTATTCCTCTATGTTCTAGCATGTGTCAGAATATCCTTCCTTTTTTAGCTGAGTAGTAGTCCATTGTATGGATATGCTACATTTGGTTTGTCCATTTATCTGTCAGTGGCCTCTTGGGTTGTTTCCACCTTTTGGCTATTGTGAATAATGCTGCTGTGAACGTGAGTGTACAAGTATCAGTTCAAGTCCCTGCTTTGTTGCGGATCTACCCAGAGGCGGAATTGCTATATCAAATGGTAATTCAGTGTTTCACTTTTTTGAAGAACCACTATACTAACCTGAACTTTTGTTTTGCTTCCAGCCTCTAAACTCTTAGGTTCTTTCTAGTAGTTTCTCTTTTTATCAGGCTGAGAGTGGCAGGCAAGTGGGGCAAAAGTTAAGGCCCTGGGCCCAGCTCAATTGGGAATTGTAATAGGAGACCCTTCCTATTATCATTATTATTGTTATTATTATTATTGTTGTTATTGTTATTAAACTGGGACCCCAAAGAGCTACACCCTTAAGATTAAAGTGACCCAGAAGTAAACCTGTCTTGGGGACTGTGAAGAAGGCAGCCTTGGCACGAACAGAATAGGAGAAGAAAAAGAAAGGAAAAAACTACAGTTCCTGATAGGTCCAGTTGTGGTCACAGAAAGGCCACACCCAGGGTGGGTTTGCACCCTGGGGGTCCATGCTCAGGATGGGCCAGGAAACCTCATAGCCTGAATGTGTTTTGAGGCACTCACCTGTTTGTTATAGCTCCAGGTGCCTGGCAGAAACAAGGAAATGCTTCTCTGGAAGAGCGCGTATTTATCCTAAGTCTCTAGGAATCAACCAAAAGTAATTTTTTCAGGGCAGTGACCAGCACACGGTCAAAGATAACCTAGCATACATGGAAACAGCACAACATGAGCAAGGATCAGCACAGGCCACAGAAGCCAGTCTGCACAGACATGCGGTATTAGAATGATCAGGCGTGGGTTATAAAGTCAATGATCCTTATTATATCTAAAGAAAGAAATGATAGGCTTGAAAGTATCTTCAGAGAATAGGAAACTATAAACAGTAACATAGAAGATTTGAAAAGGAATCAAATAGAACTTCTAGAAATAAAAAATAACTGAAGTCAAAACTCAGCGGAAAATTTGGTACTATCAGGAGAGAATCAACTAGAAGACAGATCAGGGAAAAAACAAACTGTATTCCCTTTCCATAAATTTACAAGAGGATATCCAGATGCAACTGAAGTTAAATTACCACCTTAATAAGAAAGGCATTTGGCGGGCAGGGGCTTGGTCCAAAAGCCTCAAGACATAGCAAAGACTCAATCATCTCTTCTTCCCAAATGCAAGGCCAGATTGATCATTTTTACGTAAACACACGCATACGTACATGAAACTGCAAGCGGGATATGTTTTAACTACTTAGGGGGTGGGAATTAACTCACTCAAGTGTAACTTGGTTACTGTCCCCATGGCACTCTATTACTGTTTAAGAGGACTTGAGTGAGCTGAGGACAGCAGCCGGCACATCGTCATTGTGGTTAAGGGAGTGCAAAAATAGGTTGTGAACCGTGAAATGGTCTTTTGTTTCCCTACTCTCAGCACATCTTCCTTGCTGATCCGATATATCAGTCATAGATGCTTTTGCAGTGAGGAAATTTCTAGTTATAAGTACAGACCAAATTGCAGGGGGGCCACCCACCAGGGCCTGGTGATGAATTTGTTTGTTCAGTTGTTAACAAAGGATTCAAGCACCTCTTTGTGAACCTTTCACTCGGGAGCCCAGGCTTTAAAATGTTTACTGCCATCTTTGTGTGGTTTTTCCTCCCTTTGCTTTACCCACTCCCACCCCAATAATGACATCATGTAGAAAACAATATTGATTTTTTTCCAGCTTCTAAACAGAAATTAGACCGGTATTTTCCATTGGTACCTGTATATATTTTCAGATCTGCTCCTTGTATGAAGGACATCTACATGAAAGCAGGATCTTTGTAATTGCAGTTTAA